GTATCCTCTCTCCACCCCACCTTTCCATCGCTCTCCATCAATGGCAGCACTGAACAACCGGGAAGCAAATATGAAAAAAAGAAGTTAGCAATGCGACGAGGGCACGAAGATCAAATTAAAAAAAAATTTACATGATGCTATTTTAGTGACACGACCAGGAATGTTATTAGACACACCGAGTTACCAACAACAACCGGTTGGATCGAATCATGCAAAAAGTCTCGGTTATGACGGTGCGATGAAATCATGTCTGCTTGCCCACCCCAGATAATTTAACACTCCAGTCGCGAGAATTACGAATCTGATAGCCTTTAAAATCTGATAGCCGTAGAAACACATTCAACAATCTAACACACATTTTTTTCTATCTTTCATCTAAGGACATAATCTCGGGTCCAAGGCCAGGTTAATCTAGCAGTTTGAGGAGCAGAAAAGCGACAACACCCGCATTATCTGTTTTCTCCCTCATCTGCAAAATGTATTCGCAGCATTATTACATCATATGGACTAACAAGATTCCTCAATGAACAGCAGTCAACAGCGCACACCGGATTAAAAATTATTAAAGCACAAGTGGACCATACTTTCACACTGTCCAGATGAGCAAAAGTAGCAACTCTGCCATACATTTTTTAACAAAAAAGTATCTAACAGCAACAACTTGGACGCGCTGCTACGAGCTCTTGCAGATAAAGGGACTCACCGGAACAACTGGAAAATGTGTTAGGGCAACGACCATAGTATTCGACAGACAGCACTTTTAGTCAACTGGGTCAATGGCAAGCAGCTAAAACCACTTCAGTTTTGAGGGACGATATACTTTTCATTGCGCGTAGCATCACGAAATGAATGAAATGCTTCAGAAGCTCAACTGAATGATGGAAGGAAATGGCTTTTAAAAGCCGGACAAAGAAGTTCTGAAAGATAGGGACGTCCTGATTCAATGATTTATTTTTACTCTGATCCTAATCACCGCCGAATCATTTTCACTTTTTTATTCTTTTTATAACTTTCCCAATTACCCCTCCCCTCCCTCCCCCTCCCGTTCTTCCCCATCCTGTTTGCAATTACTGCGCCAATCCTCCAATACATTTCAAAGACAGCACTCCTAAAATTAGGCCTTTCAGCTTTCGCATTTCCAGGGACGAAGAAAGCTGGCAGATGAACAAAAGTTGAGAAACGTGTGCCCGTGACATGATTCTGATTAACATATATGTAGAAAAGCACAAAACTAAAGAAAACACGGATTTGTGATGAGTATCAGTTAAAATGAGTCAAAACTAAAATGAGAAGACAAAAAAAATAATACAAAAAGTATCACCAAGATCAAATTTTTATTGCGACATAGGAACAGTCAACGAGACAGTACTTTCAAATAATCCATGTGTGCGGACTTTTTTCTATTGCGTCTACTGATAAGAGCAACTGAATTAAACGCAAAAATAAGGCTTCCAGGACTAGGAGAAGGCTGATAGCTTTTTTTTCTTGCTCTTCGGTTCCCGGCACTCATCTTGGTTGATAAGACAGTTTTAAATAGTCTAGACAGTTCAGAGTGGAAAAAAGAGACAACGCTGTAAAATCCAGCTATGCACGACTTGGTAGATCGAAACATTCCTTTTCAGACATTTCCCTCCTTCGTCTTGCTCAACTTATCTTTTTATTCTTTTCTTAATCTAACATGTTCTAATTCCCTAACTACTATTGCAATGCTTATGCATTTTACCAAAAAACAGTAAGAATAACGATCATGAGATAGACACACAGTAATAAGATAGGATAAGAAAACAGACAATCTTAAAAATTTTTTGCTAAACGTTCATAAATAACCATATCCATCCTATAATTATCAACTACGTTTCCTCTAAATGTTCGAGATGATCTGCACAAAAGTTGGTACAAATCCATGTACCACTTGGCGGACTCAATAGGCCAACACAGTATGTATGATAGCCACGGTCACAGCGATCACAAAATAACATCGCAGCCTGAAAGCTCCCGAAACATTTAAACAAACAAAAAAATGAACATTTTCAACAGAAAAACCTCCAGTTTCCTCGAACACCCCTCTTATGCCAAGTGCAAAAATTCATTTTTAAAAGCCTAAAAACCAGTGACATTTTGTGGCTTGATATTACTACTAGCTACACGTTCGCTTTCTAGACATTTCGGAACTAATTCTGTAGAAAAAAAAGCTTTCCTCTGTAATTTTTCGAGAGGAAAGTGAGTTATTTCGAAAAATACATTATATTTAAGTTAAAGGACTCATGCGATGCGCTGAACCTCAACACAGCGAAGACAAATGAGCAAATAACGCGGTAAGCAGTGATAGTGACACGAGGACATTGCAAAAAAAGCAGGAAAATTGCAGGGAATGAATGACAACTCACTTCATTATCCGGTTTTTCGCACACCGTACATTTTTTGCAATCAATGCAACTCCACTTATAATTCAGCGCAATATGGACGACGTGTTCCGGGAGAGCAGTGCATTCGGGATGCAACGTTTTGTGACAGATGGCACAGCACAACAGTTGGCCTCCCTTGTTTTCACCGCACATCGAACACCGCACCTGCTTAGCGGAAGTCTAAAATTGCCACATATATACCTCAGGTATATACATTTCAAATTTTGAAGCACAGAATCAATTTCCTGGAAAAATGCTGGATGAAAACAGATTAACTCTGGAACATATAAAATAACGTAAAATCATCACCACTTTTTTTTTTTTTACATTTAACTGGTTTTCGTCGCATGCAAACTCGAGAATGCAGTAGCTCTTCGCAGGACTTTGGGAACTGAAACTTCGCGAGGATTAGCCTTCCGACCTTTCTCAGCTCTGGAAACTTGTTTTTATGCAGATACATACCGGCACACATGCACACGTATGTTCACGTACACACACACACTCACACGTATGCTCACATATGAACACCCACATACATACACACGTACACGTCCACATACACAAACGCACACACTCACGGTACATTTACACATATTCAGATTTAAACCAAAAACTTTTTCCCGAAGCACTTACCAACTACTAATGCACTTCGGAGTTTTGCCAGTAGCGCAAAATCTAACTTCTAACCCGAGAAGGAACAAAAAAGCAGTAGCTTTATGCGCATTCTCAATGGACGTAAATATGTACATATAAACACTTGCACGCATAAATAGGAACGCAAAATACATACATGCGTACACACATACACACACAAACATGTACACACATACTAGACGCACATTACACGAATATACATAACCGCACACGCACAGACACATATAAGGGTACAAGCTGACGCACAAAAAACACATACACAGCGCAGATGCATATACATACACACACACAAACACACACAAATACTTGCACAAAAAAACACAAACAACGCAAGTTTATTCCGCGACAGGCAGAAATTTGAAAAATTGGTGGTTTAAAATCGCCTTGCTGGAATTATAAATTGACCTTCTTAGAACTAGACTCCTTCCTCTTGAGAGATTTGTGTTTTTCATTCTGCAAATTCTTTCCCTACAAAAATTGTCATTTTAGTAATGCTTTAAAAAGAAAAAAAA